TTCCTGCTGCTTCTTACAACTCATGGCTTTTGTTCCCTTGGCTGTGTGAAAGCTCATCTTGGTAAGCAGCCTCTTATCCTAAAACAACTGCCTTGCAGTTATGGTTTAATTGGGCAAGTTGAGCCAATAGTTCTGGTTTGCTTGGGAAGATCAACATTGCCTTCTTTCTCTGTTTGTCTGTTTCATTCTATCTCTTTCTCCCTCCCTGTGTCTGTTCTTGTTCCAGGTTTCAAAAGGAAGGAGTTCAGGGGTAAACTGGCCATTGCCATCACAGCCAACTTCATCAACAGGAACACCACCGCAGAGGCCAAAGTAGAAGAGATCAGCGGAGTAGCCTTCATCTTCAACCAGAAGTTCTTTCTTGACCTCAAAGAGGAGACAGGTGGGGAAAGAAGCGCTGTGTGGCTGAAGCGCTATGCTTTTTGCTGGCATGAAGTCCAGGGGCCGCAGAGAGTGCTACATACAGAGAAAATATGTGATCAAGAAATGATTCTCAGTCACGTGGCCTGTGTTTTTGTTCTGTTTGCTCTGAGTGAAACCACTGAGTATTAATCTAATTATTTAGGGGATTGGCACAGAAGTGTGTTATGCATAATAAGACTATGATGGGTTCAAGTCAGTCTCTCTAACTTTCCTACAGCATTTCAAACAATTAGAAACATTCACCACTGTGGGAGGTCTCTTTGATGTGCTTTATTAATGGTAGCCATATTGAAACCATATAATTTCTTGCAGGTATTGATCTGGAAAACATTGTGTACTACAAGGACAACACACATTACTTTGTCATGACTGCCAAGAAACAGAGCCTGCTGGACAAGGGAGTTGTCATTAATGTAAGCAGAACTTCTTTAGATCAATTGTCCAGATTTGAATCCCCCGAATGTATGGGGATGTGGCAGCACTTAGGAGGTCTAGACCCATATCAGTGTATCATGACCACCACCTGCACTCATCTTTTTTTAAATTGTATCTATTTTGATATACAGCAGGGGTTTTATTTAATTTCTGTGTGCACCATTACTAAAAACAAACTCTCTTTTATAAATTAATCTTGGTGTTTTTGAAATGCTAAGATCAGACTTGCTCTGTGTGAACCTCTGATCGTCATGCTGAACAGGATTACATAGACACCGAGATGCTGCTGAGCAGTGAAAATGTCAACCAGGAAGCTCTTCAGTGCTACGCCCGAGAGGCTGCTGACTTTAGCACCAACTACCAACTTCCCACACTGGATTTTGCCGTGAACCACTGCAGCCAGCCAGATGTCGCGATGTTCGACTTCACAAACATGTATGCCTCTGAGAACGCTGCCCTGGTCAGGGAGAGGTTTGGACATCAGCTGTTGGTAGCCCTGGTTGGCGACAGTTTGTTAGAGGTAAGAGGAAGCAAGCTCTGTTGTGTTAAGTTACCTCACTTCAGGTGAGTTTAGGGAGGGTGCAGAGTTTTATGACTGCATGAGAAAAGAACCTGGTAGTCGTGGCTGGGATGTTTCCTCCTGCCAGATGCTGCAGAGTGAAGAGTCTGAGAGTGAAGGATAGGGTCTGTTCCTGTTCCAGTGCTGTATGAGAGCTACTCTACCTGGTCTGTAAGCAGACCAGTTACTATTGAGGATGTTACCAGTAGTCATTTGCCCATCCTGTACTCGCGCCCTGTCCCCTCAGCACACGTTGACAGCACCTCGGGAGCACCGGGACATTTCCTGGTGGCCTGATGGTCGTTTGGCCGGCCGTGAACAGTCAACTTGACCCGTAATAACATACAGCAAACCAGGAGTGACTTGACAGATCTGAGTCCATGCATCAGGCACGACTCTCACACTGACTGCAATGTCAAAAATGACATTGTCTCTCTCAGCAGCACACGTGACAACTGTATAGTAACCTCCTTGTCGACCGATAATACTTTAGACAAGTCGCCAGGCAAAATGGATGGTTGTCATGTTCAGCAGAAAAGGAAAGGTAGAGCAAAGAGGGAGAGAATGAAAAAGAAATGGCCCTTGCCACAGACATAACTAAATGCTGCAAAATAAGCAACATATTGACCAGTAAAGGACCAGGTCAGTCAGAAACACTAGACACACACTAAACACACACAAATATGTCCAGCACAGCTAGATAAAGGTGTGACACATAGTTTGCAATTCTTATGTCTTCATGGCAAAGAATGTGACATAGCAGTCTCAAATAGTAAAACATGGTAAACCTGCTGCTGCACTTGACAACATTTTGTGTTTATTTTGTCCTGTTTCCTTAATGAACAGCTGTGAGTTAACACTGTAATCTACAACTTAGACTTACTTAAGTTGTTGTAGTGTGTCTTAATGTGTGTGTGAATTTTTTTGATATGTTTGGTGGTTGAATATAAAATTCAACTGAACATTTGAACTGACTATCTTTATTATTATTTTTTTTAATGATGTAGGCTGAGTGTTTTGTGCACCTAGCCTCTGTCATTTAATTGGTGCATTTCTAGTGAGTTTTTGAGGGTTTGCCCATAGCCCACCTGGAAAACGTAGTAGCCTATTCAGATAGGCTACTTGTTGACCAGTCCCAGATTTTTGTGTTTTGTAACCTCAAAAACATTCTTAACAAACAGCAGATGAACACAGTGGCCAAATAATACCTAGTCTGGTATGCATTACATGAACAAATAGGTTTAAAATTACTGATCAAGTGTATTGCATGAACAGGGTGGCCTGGGTTGGGGTGAAATTCCCGGCCTGAATAATTTTTTCGGCTATGTGTTCCTGTGTAGCCCTTCTGGCCAATGGGGACAGGTTGCGCCAGAGGATTCCTGGCAGCCTTTGACACAGCCTGGATGGTAAAGAGCTGGGCTCAGGGTCGGACAGTCCTGGAGGTGCTAGCAGAGAGGTACACACACACACTGTTATTTGGAAATATGTGTGTTTTCCAATTTAAATCACTGTGTGCTGTTAAAAAACCACTGCCTGTTAAAGTGATAAAAATAACACCAATCATGTTGCATTATGTTTCTATAGGGAGAGTATTTATAGGCTGCTTCCTCAGACAACACCAGAAAACATTGCCAAAAACTTTGAACAATACACCATAGACCCCGGGACTCGATACCCCAACTTAAACTCCTCCTGTGTCAGGCCGCACCAGGTTAGCAGAAGTACTCGCTCTGACCATATCAGATCACCATCTGATATGGAATGTCCTGATTGCAATCCTTTCATTTCCTGTTTCAGGTGCGTCACTTGTACATCAGTGCAGAGCTGAATTCTTCTTCTCTGGAGCGTGCTGCTACCATCCGTCGGCCTGTCAATCTCTACAGACGAGGTAAGTGTTACAGGTACTGGCAGATTCCAGTATGTTGTTTTGATGAGTGAATCTCTGGTTCAGAGCGTAACCGCTGCTGACTCTTCTCAGTTATTTAAAGTAGCGATCTGACGGACTGATAGTGCAGTACTTCTGTTATTTTGAAAGTATCCTCAGGTGAACATTACAGCCTACATTTCACCTTTCCTTTTTATGTAACAGAAGTAGTAGGGAACCAGAATTCATCTCAGTTTAGGGAACAAGTCATGATCTGAGGTTTGTCTTTGCATGTGGGTTCATTGTGAGGAGGAAGCTTTGAGAGAAGAGCTGCTGGGTTATGGCAGCAACAGTGAAATGCATATCTTTAGCACTTTATACCTGTAAAATGAGCCGGTATTTGAACTAAAGAAAACAATCACATCATTTTGAAATACTTATGTATCTGATGTGATAAAATTTCTGAGGCACAAAATAAAATTAGTTCATAGTTCTGGTGAGATTAAATTATATCTGTGTTGGGAAATAACACTAAAGACGGAGCTCTCGTGAGGTGCGTGTTCAACTGAAGTAACTTGAATCATTCACCCAAGGCAGCAGGGAGGTACATGTCCAGACAGGGATATGTGCATATTGTACCTCAGCACCCATTCCCACCATTTCTCTCCTAACTTTGCTTACTGGCACGCCATGTATTGCTCTGTCATATCATACTAAACATCCTGAGGGTCTAACCAGATGATTTTCTAACATTCCTGTAATAAGAATTTGCTTGTTTTATTGAAAAATATGACTTTCCATGTTTATTTTATAGAGTCAGAGATCAGACCAGCAAGGCTTCTTACCTGGTGCCAAAAACAGACAGAGGGCTACAGGAATGTGATGATTACAGACCTGACGTCTTCTTGGAAAAGTGGTATTGCCCTCTGTGCCCTCATCCACAGGTTCAAACCCCAGCTGATGTACGTAACACACACCAGAGTATCAGTTTCACTTTTATTTGTATAGTGCCAAATCACAACAAAAATCATCTCAGGGCATCTTACATATTCAGGTCTCGACATTATTATTATATGGTATCAGTAACAGTCTGCAGCTCTCTCATAAAACATCTCTACATGGTGTTTTACATGACTGCATAAAATGTAATGTTAGCAGGAGTGCAACTGTGTACATTTCTCACATTGAGTATTTTGCCAGTGAGTTCATCAACTTGACTAAAACTTGTTGCTACAGTTAACGTGCTGGAGCTGTGGAGAAAAACAAGTCATCTAGGACTTGGTGTGCTTTTATACCTACTTATAGGTCAAAATCCTCCTTAAAAAAACAGAAACCCTGCCATAGTTTCCAGCCTGGCACAGCATGGAATTAGCCAGTGCAACTGTAGATTTCTACATTCACAAATCTAATTATAACCTCTCACTCTTTAATTATCACCTACATACCTCGCCACATGCCAGTGCAGTTTCATGTGATTCTTTAAGTTGCCAGGAACCGCTGGCATTTCCCCTCCCTCCTCCATATGTATGTCTGTCAGCAGAGCAGAAAACAAAGAGAGAGCCTCTGTGCTTGCAGAATAACACCAAGGTTTGTGCGTGCTGCTGCTAGGCTACTGCTGTCTTCTTTACATCTGATAGAGTCTGCACACTGTCAGTGTAGGTAGACATGTCAGAGCTGGTTTCTCCTCCCATTAATAGTAATTTGCTGCCAGTTTCTTTTGCAATATGAGAAATCAATTCTTCTACAGGGTTGAAAATTCACCAAGTAAGATAAGTTTCTGCGTGAAGTCATTCCATTGTGCTGACGTTAACAGTGTTCATATCAGTGTGCATATCATCTTACACTCTGGTCACTGTCAGTGACCTACATGTAGGAATGAAAGCCACTGTTAGGAAACATTTTCAATTACTGACCTCATGGCTACATTGTTCTCATTGCTCAGGGCATCTTTAATAGGAATAATACTCAAAAGTTTGCATTTTCAAGCCAATAAAATGTTAATAGAAAATGTAATAAAAAATCTAATGTTCTAATGTGTGCGAAAATATAAACCAGATCCAGACAGAAAGAAATGGACAGCTCAGGATAAGTCAACATAAAAATTGCAACACTAATATAGGCTGGCACAGCTGCTTTGCCATGACATATGTAAAGTTAAATGACACGAAAACCGAAGTTATAGTGTTTGGCCCGCATAACTCTGGTGATTTTCCCCCAGTTGATTTGGGTTGCTTAGAACGGTACGTGCAGTCGACCGTTACAAACTTGGGGGTTAAAATAGAATCTGATTTTAGAATGGAATATCAGGTGCATGCAGTTGTACGGGCCAGTTTTTATCATCTCCGGCAGCTGGCAAAGGTAAAGCCTTTTCTTTCGCGGCAGCATTTCGAATCAGTAATACATGCATTCATTAGATCTTGTCTGGATTATTGTAATGCGCTATATTTTGGGCTCAGTCAGACGTCCCTTGCCCGCCTTCAAAGAGTCCAAAATGCTGCTGCTCGTCTACTGGTTGGAGGGCGCAAAAGGGACCATATCACACCCATTTTGGCTTCTCTACATTGGCTGCCCATTCTCTGTGGGGGCTCCTAAGTTGTGGAATGCATTGCCCCTGTACATTAGGCAGGCCCCCTCGTTGTCCACTTTTAAAACTTATTTGAAGACTCATCTGTACCGTTTGGCGTTCGGACCAGTATGAGCCTCTGTCTTGTTGAGCCTTTTTTGTTTTATGATGGGTGGTTGTTTTAGTGTGATCCTGTTTTACTGTTTTGTTTATTGCTTCTGCTTGTCTTACTGTGTTTTAACGGGTTGTAGTGATATTGTCTTAAGCACTTTGGTCAGCTTCGGCTGTGTTAAACGTGCTATATAAATAAAGTTGATGATGATGATGATGATGATGATGTAGCCTGAATCTGTTCCCATCTCCTTACTCTATGCTTGAATCTGTTCCCATCTCCTTACTCTATCAGAGATTTCAACTCGTTAAATGAAGAAGACCATACTGCAAACCTGCAGTTGGCCTTTGACATCAGTGAGCGGGAAATTGGGATCCGAGCGTTCACGTCTGTGAAGGAGCTGAGTGCCGGCGAGGAGTTGGATAAGACTAAGATGATCACCTATCTGTCCAAGTTCTATGAGCTCTTCCGTGGAACACCTCTACCTGCATCAGGTGCTGTTGGACTCCATTCTTCTCTGCTTTTCTGTACTCGGCTCTCCTTAATGTGACTGGACTTTACTCTGTGTGTCTCTACTTGATTTAACGCTGCTCTGCTTTCCTCCCTTGGCTCGCTACACTACTTTGCTCATCTTGATTGGACTCTACTCAGTTCTCTACAGTGCTCTGCTCTATTTGCTCTGCTCTCACACACCTTTTTATAAGTTATAAACACTGAAGCCTGTTGTTATTAATGTGCTGTTTTGGTCCATGTATCACATGACTAAAATGCGTACTAACAACAAAGAACTGAAATTTCTATTTCTTTTGGTTTCCTGTGAGAACTTGTGTGTGTTGTTAGTCATGTGCAGTGGCATGAGAGGAATGTATATTTGCACCAGACCTGTGGACTTGAGCAGTCTGTGATTCTTCGGAACATAAGAACAAATGCCTGTCTGAACAGAAGGACTATCTCATGTTTACCTATACTATGTTGTTGTGTTTAACTCGTGTAAATGTTATTTACCTTCCTCTGACTTGCAGCTGAGGGCTGCAGTAATGCTTAATTTTTTTTTAATGTAACGTTTCCTGTACACAGAAATCTTTTACTTCCAAATCACTTGCATAGCTTTCCTAACACACAAGAACATAATGTATTGCTATTATGTGACATTTATGATTGTTGGAAAACTAATGCAGTCATGTGTTATACTGCAGGTTCCAGAGGAGTGGATGAAAACAATGAAGATTATCCATCTAAGGAAGTCAGAAGTAATAATAATGTGCCCAGGAAACGGGTACCCAAGGTACAGTAACTCCCCGCTGAAATGTTTACATCTGATGTGTGTTTGCCTTGAATTATCTTTAGTTCCAGTTGAAGTGAAATTTATTTTAAATGCATACTGGTGAGAGAGTTTGATTCAAGCAGCTTATTGCTGGTTTGAAGCTCCTCTTCTTGGGACTTTTACTTTTCTTGCTCTGTACTTTAGGATGAAAAGAGGTCGGACGGTACAGACCCCATTCACAAAAGGAGGCGAAAGTTCTGTTGTTTAGAGGAGGTTTGTAATAAACCTCTTCTTCGAAATTAAACAGTATGTGGGACTTCTATAAATTACTAAGAATACTAAGCCTGTTTTTTGTCTCTCTTTAGGCCACCAATCTGTCCAGTAATGGTTCCTCAGTCCGAGATGGACGGGAGCCCACAGAAAATAAAGTGCGTTCAATGGCTAGTCAGTTACGGGCCAAATTTGAAGGCACACCCAGCTACACTGTGCGCAAAACACAGGTAAAACACACAACGAAGTGTTTAATGTGAACCTGTAGATTTTATTGCATTTTGTTTTATTATACTGTAGTGGGAACACTGTAGTACTGTAAGCAAGTATATTGTGTAGGTATGTACTGTATATACTTCATTACTATATGAATGTATTTATCTATCTGTAGGAAAATACTTTTACATTTCTTCCTGATTAGAGAAAGTTACAATTCTTTCTTTTTCACTGTAAATATGGTTTAAATTTAGCTTGTTGTGAGCTGGAGCTTTGACAAAACGTTTCCTTTCGCTAATTTTACAAAGTCCTCTGTTGCCTGTTATTTCCAGCATTTAACCTTTTCAGCCTTTTCTATCTCTGTTCCTTTTTATTAATGGTCTCTGCCAAACCTCAGTCAGATTGTGAGAAGTCCTCCCTGCGAACTCGTGACCTGACTGAGAGTCTGCACGTTAAACTCAGGCCTCCGGTCCCACCTAAACCTCCTCCTGAGAGACAGGTAGTCTGGAGCAGTCGGACTGCATTTACAAACTAGTGACAGTCTGTAAAGTCTCACATGAAAGGATATTTGTATGCTATTTGTATGCCTGTTATCCCACACATACAGTACATTTGTAAGCCATACTCTATATGTGCATATGCCTCAAACACATATATAAACCCATTTATAAAGCTCAAATGATATAATATTTAAAAGGCCCTACCAGTGGTTTTACATTTTTTTAGTCCTAGCAAACAGAATATTCACAATGGATTACTTATGCAAGTTGATTTTCATGCTGTGCTGGCATGACCAACATTGCCAGTAGAAATCCAATCAAAAATCTTGCACTGTGAAAATAGTTTACATCAATACAAAGTATTTGTGACTGACAGTTAATGGACAGAAGCCTACAGCTGCAAGAAAAGTAATGGCACTGTTTGCAGTTTCCTGGTATTGGTCATAAAATGTGATTTGATCTTCACCATCCATCCATCCATCCATTTTCTTCCGCTTATCCGGGACCGGGTCGCGGGGGCAGCAGTCTAAGCAAAGATGCCCAGACCTCCCTCTCTCCAGACACTTCCTCCAGCTCCTCCGGGGGAATGCCGCGGCGTTCCCAGGCCAGCCGAGAGACATAGTCCCTCCAGCGTGTCCTGGGTCTTCCCCGGGGCCTCCTCCCGGTGGGACATGCCCGGAACACCTTCCTAGGAAGGCGCCCAGGAGGCATCTGAAACACATGCCCGAGCCACCTCAGCTGGCTCCTCTCGATGTGGAGGAGCAGCGGTTCTACTCTGAGCTCCTCCCGGGTGACCGAGCTCCTCACCCTATCTCTAAGGGTGCGCCCGGCCGCCCTGCGGAGAAAGCTCATTTTGGCCGCCTGTATCCGGGATCTTGCCCTTTCAGTCATGACCCAATCCATCCTTCCCTCACTCGTGAACAAGACCCCAAGATACTTGAACTCCTCCACTTGAGGCAGGAACTCTCCACCAACCTGAAGGGAACAAGCCACCCTTTTCCGACTGAGAACCATGGCCTCGGATTTGGAGGTGCTGATTCTCATCCCAGCCGCTTCACACTCGGCTGCAAACCGCCCCAGTGCACGCTGGAGGTCCTGGTTTGATGGGGCCAACAGGACAACGTCATCTGCAAAAAGCAGAGATGAGATCCTGTGGTCCCCAAACCGGACTCCCTCCGGCCCCTGGCTGCGCCTAGAAATTCTGTCCATAAAAATAATGAACAGAACCGGTGACAAAGGGCAGCCCTGCCGGAGTCCAACATGCACTGGAAACAAGTCTGACTTGCTGCCGGCGATGCAAACCAAGCTCCTGTTGATCTTCACCAAAGTCACAAATATCAACAAACTCAATATTTCTAAGCTGATAAAAAAACAAACTGTCATGATCTTTCATATCTTTATTGAACACACCCATTAAACATGCAAAGCGATAGTGGAAAAAGTAACCAATGACCAATGTATGCAGAAAGCCAGGAAATTTCAAACAGTGCCATTAATTTTTTTCTTGTGACTGTATAAAACCACCCATTTAGTTCTTTAAATGGTCTAGTGCCTCTAAGTGAAGGGAAAATAAAAATTAATTCAATCCTTACTGTTTGGTTGCTTGATGAGAAATCCTACCACAGCTCACATATGTACTACTGTATGTTATCCCTTTCAGTTTGAACTCAGTATCAGAAAAGCAGCTGAACAGTTAGTTCGTCAGCCACCAAAGACACTGCCCAAACCGCAGCTTCGGCCTCTATTCCCTGTAGTGAAGCTCAGACATGTTGATCAAACGCATGCTGAGTCGAAGCCCCAGCCTGAGCCTGACAGTGCAGACCCTTCCGCTTCTTCTCTCTCCTGCCATTCAGCAATCAATTTCATGTCAAGAATCCTCCAACGCCTCAGGGAGGTGGACGAATACGTCTCTGAGGTGAACACTATCTCCTCCTTCATATTCTTTCACTTCTGTCTTCTGTTTTCTTTTCTGACCTCTTTCTAAACCTTTGCTGCTCAGTCTGTGCCTCAAGAAGGCCCGAGAATAATTGTTGATTATATACCATGCTCTGATTATACATTTAGGCTTGTGTAATATGTAATCAGATAGTGAAGTCAGCCGCTAATTATCCAACTGACGAAGATGGCAGGAATAGGCTTACAGATTTGGCACAAGCTGAGACAGACACATATGCATTATTGGCCAGTATGAGTTAGTGTGGAACAGGTCGGCCAGGGCCCGGCCGCAGACACAGCCTTACATCTTCTAATGGGCTTTTTTGATTATTCAGATTTTCCAAAAGCCTGTCTGTGTTGGCTCAGATCAGCACTGCAAAATTGGTCACCTTACCAAGTAATTTTTTTTTTTAGTCTACTACTGGAGTTGTTTGTTGAGAAAATTTGCGATGACTGTGGTTTTAAATGCAGTTTTTATTTTTAAAAATATAGCTGAAGACACAATGTAATTCTGTTCCAAACACTGCCACAATGATGGGTTATTATAATATTATCAGTTAGCCTCAGTAGCATCTTTTATATCCATGTTGGTTAGTCTGAGATCTTGATTATTGTTCTGCTTTGTCAGTGCAGCTTCTCTGTGTTTGGCATTGTTGTGATTTCTGGGATTTTTTTCTTCTTACATATTAAATCTTTTACAGTGTTTTCACAGAACATATAGGAACAGGAGCTTTATGAAATGTTACATGTTGCTGTCAACTCTTTTTGTTGATTGAGCCAGGAGGTAAATAACTTAGCTTAGCACAAAGACTGCAGCAAAGGGAAACAGCCTCACTTTCTATAAATCTCAAGTACACCTACAAAACCTGACTGATTAACATGATCTGTTTCATTTGTATAGTCTATATGACAAAAATGTATGACTTTAAGGGGAATAATGTGCTATAACTACATTTTAGCAGTAGCAGTGACTTGCCAGTCTTGTCTCCTTGAGGCTGTTGAAATGCTGCACAGAAACAGTTGCAGTGGGATAAACTGTTGACTTTAGAGGTGCTAATAGGCAAATTAGCTGTTTCTACATGCTACCTGTATTTATGCTAAGCTAGGTTAGCCGCACTGTGGCTCTAACTCCATTAGATATGGGAGTGGTATTGATCCTTTAATATCTCTAAGTTGAGGTCCTCATAATTTTGTGTAAATAATCCATACTGCCACATAGCATGTTTTAATCTTAAATTGAATGATTTTTTTTTTTTTAAATTAATGTACTTTGACTCTCTCAACACTTCAGTATATCATTTATTAATGTAGATATTTTTTGGCCGAACCAACCTACTTGTCTCTGATTTCTGTGACTGTTTCAGTTTTCGGTTCCAGTACAGCATCCACATCAAGTGGAGTGTGAAATTAATGTAATAAGGCAGCCTTCGTTCCTCACACAGCAAAGTTATTGTTCTTCTCCTGACAATACACACTTAGATGTGACATGCTGCTTCTTGATGGGAAAGTAAAACAGAAAGGTCTTCCATCATTTAACTAATCAGAGCTTTAGTTTGATATTAGTCACCACACAAAGCTTCACATTTGTTGGGAGGAGAAAGTGTCCCACTGTACTGAGGACATGAGATTGATGTCTTTTCTTTTGTCCCTGTGCTCCGTGTCATCCTGCAGAAAAAAGCTCTGACACAACAGACTAGAGAGTTTCACACAAAGAGTATAAAGGAAAAAGCTGTTCACCTTAGTGGGCTGTTCTCAGGAGACAGTTCTGCTGAACACAAGGTGACAATCTCAAGCTTGTGCTTTGCATTGTCTGTCCTTCACATTGTGTTTACTTGCATGTGAAAACACACCATGTTTAGGATTACAAGTTCACAAGAATTAGTGATATGGAAGAAAATTATAAACCTTGTATGTCGACTGGTCTGAATGTCAGAGTTCTTTTTAGTGTGTAGACACACACACACCTCCCTTCCTTTAATATACAGCATAAGAAAAAAATATTTTGCATGAGAGCTTTTACTTTGAACTTCTGTTTCCAACATTTTGCTTTTAATTACCAGCACTTGTCACAGCAGACAAGTTCGAAGCAGCAGAATGAACGAAGCAACTAATAGTGTACTAGTATGATCCATGTTTTGTAATGTTTGGATCAAATTAGATTTCTGAAGAGCAACTGGGAGTCTCTTTAAAGATAGCAGCTTTTCTCATTGAGCCGTGCATGTTTATCCATATACATCTATAATCCCCTGTCTATAATTTTTGTACTTGCTCTCAAAAAAATTTTCCTCTTAGCTCAATGCAAGGAAGCAAATGAGTCTGTGGTCTCACTCAAAGACATTCAAGAAGTGATATTGACAAGAAAAGTTTTGATCTTGGTGGAAAACATTCATTATTGCACTTATGTGTGTTCCTTATTTTGATGCCAGTTTCTCACTTTGTCTCCTCCTATATGCACTACCCACCTCTCTTTCTCCTGAGCATGCCAACACCTCCAGCAGTAACTGACTGAAGTTTACATGTCCAGCAAAAAGTCATGTGAATTGACCAGTTTCATTTTAAGGTTGCAAAGTCATAACCATAAGAACTTTTTAATGTAATTTAGTTACAAGGCAAAGAAAGAAAAAAGAATAAAATAAAATACAGGTAAAACAAGATTAGGTTTATGTAAAAAGTTTTAAAATCTAGCACTATTTCAGTGATCTGTTTTAAATATTTAGTTAATAAGAAATAATCACTGAAAAGCAATCTGTATTAGCTTCAGTTTTAATGAGGTGTGTAACATTAGTGCTCATTTTCACGTACTTTCCCAGGGTGGCTCAGTACGACGAGCATTCCCTCCTTTGGGTGACAAGTGTCACTCATGTGAGAGGCGTGTTTACATGATGGAGAGGGTCTGTGCCGAGGGGCTCTACTTCCACAGGGAGTGTTTCCGCTGTTCGACCTGCAGCTCCTCTCTGAGACAGGGCATGCATGCTTTCGACTCTGGACAGGGTTTGTATCATCTGATGGTGGAACCACATACAGTACAGTTGGCTTTGCTTACATACTTTGTCCTGACATTTGCTGTAACCTTACAGGGAAACTATACTGCAAACTTCATTTTGATCAGCGTAACAACGGGACAAACCTGCGGAGGACTCTCTCTCGCCACACAGTGAGTAACTTGCACTTCTATTCATCCCATGTTAACAATATTTAATGTGAAGGGTTTTAACTTCTCTGTCTGTTACATCCTATGTCTTAGAATCTTCATAGAGCTGAAGGTCAGGAACGATGTGTTGCTGATGGAGAAGGCTCCCAGTCTAGCAGCACAACAGACCTGCAGAGTCAACCTGCAACAGGTACCTTCAGCTCATTCATAAGGAAACAGCTTAGGGGGCCCCTGAGTGTGACTCGTGCTGTGTGTAACACCCCCTGGTATCTATCCCGCTGTGTGCGTAGTACAGCGCAGGCCCTCACCGGCCACCTGAGGAACAACGCCCAGGACTATACATTTCTGTATGAGCTACTGAGCATGAGCTTGCCCCTGCTGTTCATTTTACAAGAGGTACTACTACAGATGTACATAGAGGCTGTGCCTGATGGGCCAAGCCCTTTGCAACCTCTGCTGCTGTGGCTGCAGGAGCATATTGCGCACAGGCTCATTTAGACACGCAGCTGTTCACATCTGACCCTGAACAATATTCCAAATGTCATTAAATCTGTGACTGAGTTGTGCATTAGCTGGAGTGTTCTTGTGATATTATCATTTGCAGCTGTGCACAAGCACCTTTTTATTGTTTTTCCTTTTATGCTGATACTGTAGATAGATTTGCTCCTAGTGTGTTGGATGTATTTGTGCATCAGCCAAAGAAGAAACACTGTAAGTTGCTCTTGCAACTGTCTGTAGTTTACTAGAGGGGGGCAGGACAGTTTTTCAGATAATGAAAGCTGCACCAGATCATTTTGCAGTAGGTTTGATGTGAAAACTATGCAGCACTAGTTGGGTTAAAATAAGTAAAATGCAAAGGATAATAGTAGTTAAAATCCATATCCAATAAAACAGGCCACAGTGAGTGAATTAAGACTTGAGACTGTGGAAATGTCCAATCATCACTGCTGTAGAATTTAACCTGTAACAAGCTGTCTTGGAAAATGGATCCTGCAGTTAAATTTCTTAACTCAGGTTACGACTGACTAACTTGATGCACTTTATCTTTGGAAACTGCCTTGTGGACGTAGCAGGAAACTGTCTCATCAGAGAACAGCCTGGTCTAGTGTTAATACTGATCACCAGGCATGTTTTCTCTACACTATGCAAATGTGCTCCTGCTAAATGTTTTTAAAATTTCTGTGCAGGTATGTGTGTTGTACACACATTTGTTTTTGTTTTTTTTAGCCCTGGCCTCTTTGTTTTCTTTATTGAACAGTTTTTATTGATTTTCTGTGGATCACACCAAAGAATCTCTTGTTTAATGCTGTGCTAGTTCTCCTTTGCTGCCATCTACTGTTGACTCCTAGAAAAACCATGAAGGCAAAAAGCAACACCCTGCCCCCTTCTCCCTGTAAAACAGAACTAATAACTACATGTCAAATAGTTGATTTATGGAGTATTTTCTAATTTGCTGTAGACAATAGAAGCTGGTGAGCATGCTGTTTGGATGTGCTTGCCACTCTGGCCTTAATTTTAAAGCATGCTGTTGGAAGATCAAACTTCTTGACTTGACTGGAGTTGCTTTCTGTTCAAATACACTATCTAACACTGCTTATGAGGCATGGTAGACTCAGAGTATTTTGTTTAACTTAAAAAAAAATTGAAGTGATATTTGCAAAAATATCAGTCATTATTTTAAATGTTCACAGCATGATGTGCTGGATATGCAATATTATGTTTGTGCTTGGTTGTCAGCAGTGTAATATTTTATGTTTAATTGCAGAATCTGCTCCGTGTAATATGTCTCATTTACAGTGCAGTACAGGTGACAACTTAGTGTGTTTTAAAATACCAAAGAACTGTTTGGTGCATTTGTATAACATAAGTTATGTTTGTTTAAGAAGACAGCAGTTGCCAAAGCTGTAAAATGGACAATGGTGTCAGCATGCAAATATCTTCATTATGAATGTCAGTATTTTGTTTTGTTTTCATAAACATTTTCTACTTTTGTGAATTCAGCTGTTTTTCTTTATCATGATATGATGCATCTTAATCTTGTCTGTGTTTTAGATCCTGTTTTTCTTTTCCTCCCTTCAGCTGAAGCCTTTTATGAAGTGTGTGAAACATCTGGATGGTTAGGAGAAATGACATTTTGAAGGTGATCACCTGCACGTGTAGTAGTTATGTGGCTGCTAGTAGTGATGATAAATAACTGACGCACAGCATCTGAAATGACTTAACAACATTTACAGTGCTGAAATACTTAAAGGTTGTCCTTGGAAGCAGCGCTGAGTTTTCGCAGAACTAAGTTAAAAGAATGGCTTCAGTGTTAATCATTGATTCTCAAAGTGCTTTAGGAGTGAACTGCTACAAATTTAGCTTGGTTTGAGGCACCTTAACTGTTTCACACATCTCAGAGTTTGAATAATTAATCCATGAACGAATAATGAAGTGAAACTATATGGCAGTTCATTCTGATTATTGAGGCTAGTGCAAACAGGTAAGGATAAAAAACAAAAAACAGAAGACTTTATCCTAACCTAGTTTTCATGTAATTGAAAGCCTTCCACTCAAAATATCAACTTTTCAGAACAATTTCAGCAAAAACATGTCTGACAACTGTAACTATTAACCAGTAATTAACCAAACGAACCGACTGCACAACATCCATGCAGTAGATGTTGACTCTCAGAATAGTCTCCCTTGGCAAATGAGTCACTGAGTTATTACAAATATGTAGACATTCATAATTGCAGTTTTCTGAGTACTTCCAACATGTATTTTAGAAAACTATTTTTCAAGGTCAAGAATGGCATTTCAAGCTTAAATTCAAAGCCAAAATCATGGGAAGCTATTAAAGTGTTCCAAAAAATGGAAATTTAAAAATCTGCAGATCAGGTCCATCTGCTAAGGAAAATAATGACTGAAAGTCCACAACAGCTGCTGTACTTAATGGAACTTGTTTTGTCAGATACTGTTTCCAATGTTAAAATTCAGCTGTCAATCTCAACCACTGATTATGCATTTTAGAGGGGAATGATTTCAGAGTCTGTTTTCCGGTCTTAGAGACTAGAACTGCATATGTGAAAAAAGTTATATGAAGTTTTTAGTTGCTGCCTAAAATCTGTTGAAGTGCCTCAAGTGATGTCACTTACTTGCATAATATGGTAGACCAGCTGGGGTGGATGACAAAACCCAGGACACTGAACGTGAAACAGCTGTTCCCCATTTCAAACCGATAGTCCACTTTAATAACTTTATTATTTTAACCCAAAGCATGTTTTTCTAATAAGCCTAACAAAGTTGTATTTGTGCCAAAACCTGGTATGGTATGTGTCTATTATTGTAATGATGACAATGTTGGTCCGGTGCTTAATAACGGCCTATTGAGCCAAGTAGAAAGTGGCCCTACTAACCCATCCCTATGATCTGAATAACAGATGATAACATTTAAAGCAGGTGATTTAGTCAAAAAAGGCCTTTAAAGGTATCTAAAATTCTTACAATGAATTTTTTTCCAGCCTCCTGTGCAATTTTAGCTAAAACTGGTTGGAGAATCTGTTAAGCGAAATTTATATGTGGACTTTTTTGAGTTGGTTAATCCTCCTGTCCATTTATCCCTCCATTTACTGCTGCTTATCCAGGTCAATATTATTTGAAATTATTATTTACAACTGGGGAGAAGCGATGATGTGATATGAAAATATCAATAAATGAATGCCCTTAAATAATTCTAGGCCTTGTCATCCATACTTGCTCTCAGTGGTGTTTCATTCTTTGGTTGATAACACCATGAAACACATAAATTGCATTACACTGTATGTGATTTTAACATGTTTTAAAGTAATTGGGTGAACCCTGCAGAAACCCTGTGCAAGGTCTGGAATGAAATCACCAGGTTGGTATAAGTGTTAGTTATTAAAATTATTGTATCTCCACACAGTATTCCCTCATCAGTGCCTGTGATGTTTTGCAGAAGCTACTTTACCCTGCATCCTAACACTCCATGTCAGCCAACAAACTGAAAAATATCTCTGATAAATAATTCTGCTCCATGTTGTGTTGTTCATCTAAACTTTTACAAATCTGTTCCATTTCCCTCAAATCACCTCCACAAAATTAAATCAGTCCTTAGTCCATGCTCGGATGTTTCTCAGTCCCAAAAATCTCTATAAGCTCTACACTTTAAAATCTGTCGTGTTAGAAGCATAGCACCATCTTATGTAATAAAGGAGATGAACTACAAAAAAAGATGTTGGCTATTTAGATGTAAAAACTGATTTCTTTATGCATACGACAGCTGCATGGCAAACACATTATTCACTATATCTGCATTTTGAATATATATAGTGAACTGAGCTAAGTAAGTTGGTGCATTTTCTTCTGTGTTCTCAACGTTTTCATAATACTGTTAGGATTAGATGTCACATCTCCAACACCCTTAACAATTTCAAGGAGTTTTAAAAATGAATGTCTTTCACTTACAGTCAGTTTCAATCCCAGAAAAAAACTGCGGTGAGCTGTTCATAGTGTGTGCTTCAACAAAAATATTCAGATTTCTTTCCTAATGTCTGTTTCCTGTTGTTTTTGTTTTTTTTTTTCATTCAGATTCTGCCAAACAAGAGAATTTTCACTTCATCTACTCAGGACTGAGAACTGCCGGATAACTTTTAATATTATCTATCATTAGCAATGTGAGTGTAAAAAAAAAAAAGTATTTAATTTGGTTCTTCCTATATTGTTTTTTTTATTCAAATGTGTAGGTTGTTACTGACTTATGACTTTGCTTATCAGATACACGACTTTAATAATTTGCATGATTTTTAGCTGATTCAGTTTAATTGCCTTTACTACAACTGTTTTTAAAATCAAAACTACAGACTACAGTGCAGATCTGTATAAAACATCACTTTAAAAGGCACATGCATCCAGTAACTAAAAATGACTTGGTTCACTGTCACAGCTCTGCAGCATGGCACTGTTTTCAGAGAAACACAACCTGCTCAGAAAAAAAACAGCAGAAAAAGTTGGTAACTAACGTGTGGTAAACATAGTGGATTTAGGAGCTAAAGATATTTCCCCCATGAGTTTGTGGAGACCACAGACAGAGCTAGGAGACTATTGGACTTCAGGTGACACATGACTCCATGTGAATGAGAGTGTAGCTCCGTGTGTAAATAAGCAGTTTGCCATATCAACTTAAAGTGATATGTCAGTGTCATGTTTACAAAAAATTTTTCTGTTACTGTAAAAATAAATTAGCAATTCTCGTAACTGTACAAATATTTATTTAAATAGGAAACGGAAAAACTTAAAAAGCCCATTTCCAAAAGACAGGACACGAACACAACTGTCAGTGCTAATAATAATCCTCTGAGTTGTGTCATTAGTTAGAAATATATATGTGATTATTTGCAGATGCTATGGGGAAGATATTTGAGGGAGCTCACCGTAGAAACTTAATGTTTTTGCAAATTTTATTGTCATAATATCAAACCTTTAAAAACTATTCTGTGGACACGGAAAGAAAATAGAGGTGTAATACAGTTATACAAATTATGTAAATTGTTCTAAAACTATATACACAGTAAAAATGGTACTGTTTACTGACCTTTTGTTAATCTTAATTTGTTTTTTATTAAATTACCTTTCCTTAAATAGAAAAAGAACAGAATAGAAAATGAGTTATACAGTAACAATGATTAGTGTTCAAGCAACAGTGCAATCAGAGCCTGAAATTGCATTGAAATTACAGAAGCTGTGAAAGTTGATGAAAAAAAAAATAGAAAGGAGATGAGTCAAAAAATATAAAGTCATTATTTTAGCACTTTCACACAAATCATCCTTTTGTAGTCACACACAAATCGCCAGAAAGGAGGTGACACACGCCAGGCTGCCGGGGTAAATAATCTGTAATGAAGAAAACATTTATATTTACATTTCCTCTGACGAGAAAATGAATCTCTTCACACTGCAAGCTGTTAGCTTGTCCCTATACACATATTATTTTGCAATACAACTATAAAGAAAGCGTTTTAAAGTCATTTTCAAACATGATCAATTCATTAGAACCTGTTATTTAACTTAAAAATGCAAAACATGCCAGTTGAAAGACATGACACATAATGGATCATCAAGGAAGAACTGATGCTCAGAAGCTCTGTGCTTCATACTGACAACTACAGTTCTATAACATAAACCTCAGATAACAAACCACTCAAATTCTATCTGCCCATCTCACTAAATAACAACACTGAGAAATACACTTAAGGCCCTGATGGACAGACAAGTGAACCAGTGCTTGTTGTCTTAAGTCAGAGAGGCTCCACTCTGTCTCTTTGACCAGACAGCATCTTTTTAAAAATGTCATACAGCATCTATTATTTAGTGTTTGAGCCTACGCACAAAATCTAAAAAGCTAACAGAGACATATTTCTTATATCAAGACTTGATCATATCCTAATTTGGATGAGACAGACTTGACTCAGATGTTCTGGAACTGCACTGGTCTGACTGGTCAAGTAAATGTGAACATCTCTTTAAAGCCACAGGCTTTAAAGCCAGACCCATGGATGTTTATCTGCGGGGTTTTAGTCAATGATCAATGACAGCCACTGAATAAAAGGATATTATACAATTTACATCATCACTGGCAAGGAAAATTTTAGTAAACTGGACAATGCTGGTCTATCCTAAGTCTTAAAGGCCTGATGATGTTTATGAAACTTGAGAAAATGTTTCCACTGGTTTTGTTCCATTTAAGCTCCCAATAATTTCATCAGTGACTTCACTAGTAACAGTACCTCGCTAATTGTAATGCACTGGTTTTTCATCTCATCATCACCACCCCACTCCTCATTACCTCCTCATGCTTGCCATCAGTGTTTCTTCTCTTGTGCTGTCGCATAGCTACAAACTACAATATATAGACATTTAGAAATTCTCTTCTGTCTTTTTCAGTGGCATATTTTAAATTCTGCCTCTTAGTGTTGCATCTGTGCAAGGTATTCCGTAATAATTTCAAAATCAGAAGTGTACATTTTATCAACTGAATGTACTAACTGGGAGACTGTTGTTGAAGATCCTTGAACAACTGGTATGCTGCCTCTTCTGAATTTAACTGGTGCTCTGAGCATTATACAAACATTTGTAATTACATTTTCAAAAGGGGTAGACACAAGGCAGCCTTCAATA